GTTTGACCTCTGTCATTGCCAACAAAGGATATACAACAAAGTATTGAGATGAACTTTTGTTATTGACCAAATACTTATTTTCCCCACTGTATGTACAAATGACTTTTGTGTTTACTAAAGTCAACAAGCTGTGGTGTCCACACCTAATAAGATTCACTCTAAAAGATAATCATTTGTAGACGTACATCTATTATTTCTCTGAATTTCCTTAAAATGCGTTCACTGGTTCATGAGATATTTTGCTAACACAGCAAKAGCATAAACAGACATGATTGTTAGCCTTTCATGGCAGTCGACAATAATAAAAGATAGAACTCGATGCCAAACATCACTGATGTCCCCCACCGCCATTCAGTGGTGACCAACTGTTAGTTTTGTAGGAATCATCACAGGCCTTCATTATTTAAATAATCTCATAAAGTGAACAGATGGATGGATGAATGGACAGGGGGCTAAAGTGATCGTGTCAAACTACTACACAAACGTGTTGAGCAGGTCTCCCTTATGATGCACATGGTTCAGATCAAATCATGCATGTATGATTTACAGCCAACCTGTGCAAAGTGGGCGGGGCTCACTTGATCTTATCAAACTACTATACAAACATGTTGAGCAGGTTTCCCTAAAGATGCAGATAAAATTTGGGGCAGACAGATTCATGAATGTGCGATTAAGAGCCAACCGTGTGCAAAGTGGGCGGGGCTGAAGTGATCTTGTCAACGTACTACACCAACGTGTAGAGCAGGTATCGCTGATGGTGCACACACATTTTTGCACAGATCAGATCACGTATGTGTGATTTAGAGCTAACCGTGTGCAAACGACGAGGCATCAGCTTTCGCCACTCTGCCACAGCCACACCATCTCACCACCAGTCAGGGTTGAGTGAAGCCTGCAGCATGTGGAGTCTGCATGTTCAAAGTTGTAAGGGGAGTGAGCTCAGATGCTTGTGCAAGAAAAGTGATAAAATTGGCAGCTTTGATCCAAAACGGCTGACTTCCAGTMAGGATTTCACCACAACTCCAAGAGACATTTTGTAGGTCCTGAGACGTTACACCTGTACCAAATTTCATGATTCCAGGACCAAGCATGACTTGGGACTATTTTTAAAAATGTATGGGGTGCTGTGGAGTAATTAGGCCGCACTCCCCCAAATTTGAACTGCATTCCAGTAGTGGGTTGTATTAGGTTCGTGGTGCTGATTGGCTGAAATATGTGGAATTTAGAGCCAAACGTTTGTCAACGGCGTAATGGCTGTCTTCACCGCACCGTCATGACCACGCCTTTCACCAAAAAGTCTTTGTGCTTGAAAGCAAGTGAGATCAACTGCTGTGTTCTGACACAGTTTGTTGCTGATTTGGTCAAGAGGGTCAGAGATGAAGCTTTCCAAGCAAAGAAAAGGCCATTTCCTGTTGTCAGGGGGCGGGGCTTTGATAATGTCATATGACCACATGGTAGGGTCGGCCATGCAACATGCATGACTCACACCAAGTTTGTATTTTAGCCTTTCTATGAGAAAGTTACAGCTTTCTGAAGGAGATCTTTTCCAAGTTCCCCACCTCAGTGACAAGAGWCAAAAAGAAAAACAAATAAAAAAATTTAAAAAAGAAAAAAAAAGTAGGTTCTTACCACAAGAAGAGCAAAAAGGATAACCCCACAACTCCAAACATCAGCCCTGCGACCATCATACCTCTCCCCCTGGAACAGAGAGATGGTTATTAGAGCTGCTGCAAACACACTCACATGCTGTAAATTCACGAGAGAAACAAAACTCACTCTTATGACTTCTGGACAAGCATAATGAGGAGATCTGAAAGCCCATAAAAAAATAATAAAAATTACCAAGCTATGAACAGTCTAAACATTATTTTAGTTTAATTCTGACAGAATTAATAAGCTAACAGCTACTTAGCTGCTAAAACTAAAYGGGATTGTTGCCATCATAAAACAGCTCCAATCAAAATAAATCTTTCACTGTAGTAAAACTTGACACCAACAGATACACTAAGTATGGCTCTTATGAAGGTGCTACAGTTAGCTAATGTTGCCTCATGTGCTCACAAGTAATCACAGTTCAATTATATGTAACTAACCATCTAATGTGATGGTACTGTCAATGTTTATAAAGTGATTTTTTTTTTTATGTTATGGAAGTTTTGAGGATGGAGACATTTTGTGATGTTAATCCACTTTGGTTTCAGCTGTGCGCTCAGACTAGCCGTTAACTCGACAGTTTTTGTTAAACTCTGCTTTTCCAAACAGTGGCTGTTAAGGCCGGAGCCATCTACAATAAGTTAAATATTTATTGTTCAAATCTACGTCAAAATAACAGCTTTATTACAACATATTCTTTATTATACTGACAATATCTCGACACTCACCCACAGCTGGTTTCCAGCAAACTGTCTCCAACTTGTAGTGAGGCCATTCCAAAGTCTGCAATCCTTATGTTGTTCTTCTCATCCAGGAGAAGGTTCTCTGGCTTCAGGTCTCTGTGACTGGTCACACACACAGAAAATGTACTGTGACTGTTGGAGACTAGTCTGCAACTCAAAATAGTGAGAAAATAAGCACACTTTCAGCTGCTGTTTCACTGAATTTTGAATGTTTCTGCACCAGTGAGCCATGCAGCCACATTTAGTAAGGCAGGTTTTTGAAAATCACAGCTTGCACAACTGTATTCTACAGCATAAACCTTATGTAGCTGCCCAACTCCCCCCAAATCATAGCCTCTTAGCTCTGCTCTGTATCCACCTTAGCAGCTGACCCTTCGATTATAATTTAATCTACGGGAGTACTTTTGAAATGAAGATAGGTAGATTTTAATATCTACGGTATTTTTTATTATTAGAACAGTTTTTTGAGCTGGACATTCGGGCTGTATTCTTAGATGCTTTCTGTCACGAGGAGAGTTCCTGTGGACAKGAGCAAAACCTCTGCACTGCAACCTGAGCAATTAGTGAGTTTTACAAACACTTTATGCGCATTTCATTTTGCAAGTGCAAGTATTGCATACCGCAMAGTTACAAATACATACAAATTTAAGTACTTTCAAAAAATATAAACAAGTGGCAATTCGCAAAACATATCAGCTCTTGCTCTGTAAAATTATAAAAACTAACTTGTTTTGTAGTTTTCAACAGGTGCAGCGCAGTGAGATCCCACAGCATTTCTAGATGCCATGTCGATTCAAATTAAAATATATTGTGTGAATAAATGTAATATTTGTACAATTTATTGTTATAGATATTTGTGTGGGCAAAGGTTAACTTTGGTGGCCATCTTGAATTGAGTTGACTCCAAAAGTCAATCAGTTGTAGATATACAGTATCCACCAAGTGGTTTATGAGTTATTTTGCTAACAAACAAACAAACAGGGTTGACTCCAACAGTTGATGTCATAAGTAAAGCAAAGAATGTGGTGGGGATGATGCTCAGATCCTACAAAAAATACTTTCAGGCTAATATCTGTAAAATCTGCTCAGTTGTAATTTTTTATATTTCCTAAAGTCCAAATTCAGTTGTAATTGTGCATCAGATGATTAGTTTCTGACAGCTTCATTWAAATCTGTCCACTAGTTCATGAGATATTYTAGAATTGAAGAAATTTAAAGTTATTAGAGGTTAGTACTGATGTTAAAAGCACAACACTATATTATTAGGTTTTCTTTTTTGTAATGTTGACAGTGTTTAATCTATTATGTTTTGATTGAAATAGGTTCAGTTACATGTCCGAAATATGTGACAACACATAATTAAACGTTGGGATGACATTAGCTGAGGATTTTGTCTGAATGCCTGTGATTCAGCCGTAGGTCAGTAGGGGGCGAACGCAGACATTGAAGAGGGTGTATAAATACATGAACTTCCTTTTTTTTCCGGTAGTATTGTTTCCTGTCAGCTTGGGT